ATAATAGAATTTTTACATAATCAAAATATTGAAACAATAAACAAAGACCCAACAGAAAAGTATCAAAAACAAATTAAATAATTGTTACTAAATTAAAAATCAATATTAAAGTCAATAGAACAGAAATACCTCAGCATCATGAACCCACAGTCTCCTAAATTAAACTTTTGTATTAAACTACACATGCCTGATTACCCAATAAGACCTGTAGTTTCTTTTTATACAGCTCCGTCATATAAACTAAACTGTTAGATATTATTTTGGAACACACTAAATTTTCACCACTAAATTTACCGTAAAAATGCAATAGAACTAGTTAATAAAATACAACATTTTCAATTACCTAACAACTCAAAATTAATTTCATTTAAAGTCAAAAACTTTTTCCTAGTATTCCTCCTACAGAAACTGTTGTTCTAGTAAAAGACCTTTTAGACCATAATATTACAAATCCAATCATTACCTCTAAAATTTTACATTTTTTTGAAATTTCCATAAGCCAAGACTTCTTTGAATTTAATAATCAAATATAGGTATATAAATAACAGTATAGAACTTGGGTACTGGGATAATAGGTAATCCTCTAAGCCCATTGCTATAAGATTTTTTATGGACCATCTAAAAGCAAAGATTTTAAAATATCCCATATTGAAACAGTTTGTGTAGTGGTGGAAATACGTAGACGATGTACTGGTATGTTTCACAGAAACTAACAGGCAACTCGACCAATTTTTATCGTATATTAATTCACTTCATAGTCATATTAAATTCACAATAGAAACAGAACAGAATCAATTCATAAATTTTCTAGATTTAAAAATTATCATACTTAAAAACAAACATGAGTTCTAAGTATTTCATAAACCTACCCATACTGACAAGACTATACACAATTCATCATCTCATCCTACATAACATAAATTAGCTGCTACCATAGCATGTTATATAGATTAATACTTTCCATGTCAAAAAATAACTTCGAAATAGAACTGAATATCATTAAGAACATAGCAGTAAACAATGGATACAACGAACACACAATTAATAAAATTTTAAATAAAAAACTACATAAGAAAGTTCTAAAATAAGTACCACCAGAGAAATATGATTACATATATACAGGAAAATTACCAAACACATAAAAAGAAAGGAATAACACCAGCTTTTAAAACAAACAACAACTTCGCAAATATATTAACACATTCGCTGCTGACTTTTTCCAAGAGGTGTTACACAGGAGCAACAATAACTTTTTTCTAAGCTATCATTGTAATTGATATTAGAATATATAATAATATTACATTATTTAAATAAAGTGTATATTTATTTATAAAACGTAATTTGGATTTTTGACTAAGATGGAAGTCATGTGCACCTGGCTAAGAATTCATAGTGTATTGCTGACTGGCCTCGATCGGCACAAGGCAAATTAGAACGTTATTGTAGAAAAATAATAACAGAATTTTAGAAAAAATAAGTTTATTTATTTTGTAAAATACAGAAAGATTCACGTATTGATTTGATTTTTATTCACATATGAGCAATTTCAAAGCATTCAACACAAAATCCGGTTTGATCTGAACATTTTTCGCAGTGATATGTTATCTGCTTTCTAATTTTGTTTGCGAAGTATATTTTGCAACGCTTTTTCTTTGTTCGTCACTTATTAACCATAGGAATTTTTGAAATACTATGTCTGGAGACACTATGGACAGACAAAGTCACCAATGAAGAAGTACTGCGGAGGATGAACACAATCACCGATTTGGTTAACATGGTGAAGGGCCGTAAGCTGCAATAAATAGGCCATATAATGAGAAATCAAGGCAGATACGAGCTACTCCAATGCATTTTTTAAGGCAAAATTGAAGGAAAAAGGACGAAGAAGAATATCCTGGCTTGTTAAACTGAGAGTATAGTATAGAAAGACCGCAACACAGCTATTCCGTATAGCAACCAACAAAGTCATCATAACCAGAATGATCGCCAACGTTTGAAACGGACAGGTACCCTAAGAAGAATGTCTGGAGGCAGGAATATTTCTAGTTTTTCACACTTTGAAGGACCCGGCATAGTTTCTGCCATTTTGAATCACGAACCTATCACAGCAAAGAACTGGTAAAAATTTTTGACACTTTAATTCCTCACTCACACCCTGAAAAACATGAACTAACGTCGGTTTCGTAATAAGTAAAATATACCGTCTTAAAAATCAACGGGTTACTGTCTTCGATCAGTGTTAAGAACAAAAGAGCCAAAAAAAGCAACTGCACAGCGCTGCATACAAATTTAAATGTGGCGACTGCCCAAAAACTTACATCGGTCAAACTGGTAGAACTTTTATCAAACGTATAACAGAACATAAAAGGGTTTTTAATAATAGAAAAACAGACTATGTACGCACTTCAGTTTCTAGACCATAATCATTCTTTTAATAACGATTTCAAATTCTTTACATTCAAAATAAACTCCTTAAGATATCTTTATTAGAATCTATGGAAATCAACAAATTAAAAAATACAGACATAATTCTGAATGACCAACTTAAGACAAACAGTTCTCCTCTCCTCGACTTATTCAGTTAAAAGTCTATAAAGTGTTAACACATACCAAAAATAGATCACTTGAGAAAGGCACTCTGGTCGAAACAGCTGTAGTAATAATAATTTAAAATAAACTTTGTGGTAATGTTGAAAACAAAAGTTTTTAGTGTTGTTAGTTATTGTTAGATAAAATGAATTTCCATCAAGTAACGGTCAAATCCATTACTTAATTAAATATTTCAGATATTTTTCTGTTATCTATCCCATGAGCTGAAGAATTTTAACATATTCTGTGTGGGTAAAATATATTTATAGAAATTTGATGCTATACATGTGCAACAAACCAGTAATTATTTAAAATACCTGATGTTAGTGTTCCACAAGTTTCGTACCTATTATACACAAGAGACAGTACTGAATTAAATCAGCGTACTATTGCCACATTTCCTGATCTCATATATTTGCAAATTCATACTAAGTTTCCGATTCACGGAAACTAAATCAGAGTTTGCCAGCCTGCGCCAAAAAAAACGTACGCTCAAACATAATTTTTCAGCTAACTAAAAAATGCGCTTTTTTAACACTATTTATGTAACTACTTATCTTAAAATTAAATAAAAAATTAAAACAAATTTGGGTGCAACGTTAAGTGTATTGTTAAGTACCCCTAATTAAGACGCCATAAACAAAAACAAAGAAAAGAAACTATGAAAGAGTATATAGTTAAAAATATTTTCGCGCCATTATGAGAAAGATTATCTATCAATCAAATTACGTTAGGATTCAAACTAAAATTGGGAAAAGTTGCATAAACTTATATCAACAAATATAAAAAAACTTCGAACAAGAATAGAGCACCAAGGAAAGAAAAACAAACAAAGGGAATATGGTGGATACTAACAACAATATCGAAAAATAATGTAATACAATAGATTAAAAATACTGAGGCGGACATTTTCTAAAAGGAATAAAAAATGCAGTAAAGGATAAAACGGGACCTAATGATCGTGTCATTTACAGTTAATCCACATAACAATAAAATATTTTAATACCAAACTGAACATCATTGTTCACATCTATCGATCTTAACCAGTCTAATATAAAAATGTCCAAAAGTAGGTGAAAAAAAGTTCTTATATTAGTAATTCTTCCAATGGCGTTATTGCTCAAATTGAGCTTTGTTCCTTTGAAATTTTTGCTTCCAATACTGTCATTCATCGCTCGTGACGAATTTCTTACTCGCACTTTACTTTTGCTACTTTAGTCGATTCCTCAAATATTTGAATTCTAGCTAAGTCTGAGATGTTTCATTAAACAATTGCTAAACTTCATGGCTGTATATGTAGAGTGCGCGCAAACACTCTTGACCACGGCGCAGTAGATGAAATTTGGTTTAGTCACCACTTCCGTGTGAGACGCATTGTACTATGCACTGTATAATTCCATTTACAATAGAACCTTTCTGCCTTTACGTGAATTTGACTCCGCCTTCGCCCAGCTCCATGGTCAAGAGTGCTTGCGCGCACTATACCTTTATATCCTATCGTGGATCGATCCAAAGATCTTCCTTATAAGCGTATCTTTGAAAATTTAACCTTTCCTTTTATGTCTTAAGATTTTTTAAATATGTGAAATTTTTTAAAACTGTAACTTCATCCTCTAGTTTAATTTTTTTTATAATTATCTTTCTTCTTGTCTGTTTTCTTTGTTAGTGTTTTGATTTAGATCTCGTGTTTCTGTGATTTTGTGTTTTAGATCTTATTTCTAGTCAAATCTTCTTGACCGCACTTTTCATTTATGTTATATTTCTATGTTGATATTAGAATTTCACTGACTTTGCAACGGATAGTAGCATTTTTTTAAATAAAGTAATTGTTTGCAATCTTCACTGGCTGGTATAATTTATGAGCATCGATCTTTGAAAATGCAACTGCTAGTTGAATTGACAACGCATTTTAATTACTATTTAACTGGGAATAAGCCACAATTAAAGATAAAAATACGTTTATTGACGTTTCAATTTCCACTTCGGAAATCGTTCGAAGTGGAAATTGAAACGTCAATAAACGTATTTTTATCTTTAATTGTGGCTTATTCCCAGTTAAATAGTAATTAATTTACAATGCCACAAGAAAATAGCTTCAGAACAATATTAAGAAACGCATTTTAGTTTCCATAGTCCATATTATTTTATATGTACAAATAATAAACATAATCTTACAAGAGCTTTACAATAAACACGTGGTTAAAACATTGTTCATGTTTAAGAAAATGAAAACATTTTGATTTTTTTGTGTATTTACTTGTAAATCATGAACTAAAAAAGGTAACGTGTAATTGTTGATTGTACTTCACGTCACGCAAGTCACGTTGTATCACTTACTCTCAATCTTCATTACGAACATCTTCATCTTCTATACTATTAACTAATTTACCAACTAATATATACTCAACTACCTTCTCGACATTATGTAATATCTAATACGAATTAAAACCCGTGGCTTTCTTTCTGGCTTCGATTTTTTAAAAAATCCAATTTCAGTTAAATTAGGCAGGCACTGAAAACTCAAAATTGCTCTTCAGTAGAGTAATTTGTTAAATAATAGACCTATGCGGCTCTGGCTGCTTAAATGATTATAGTGGTTTAAGAAATTCCCATGCTGGGGTTTTATTATAGGCTATTCGTTTACGGGAAAGTAGTGTCCCTTTTTCTGCTATAACGTAAAGTGTTAATGTCTGCAAATTTGTTTTTAAGATTTTAAAATGAATTAATTCAAGAACGTACCTTTTATAAAAAGCAAGTATTAAAATAAACATGTCAGATGTCAGGAATGATGATTTCTCACCAAGAATGAAAGAAGAAAAAAAATGTCCCCAAATATGTGTGATTGTATTCCAAATATGTAATTGTACATAATGAAGTAAAATAAAGAAAAGTGGACAATGAAAATAACAAGAACAAGGAAATTTTATAAATATAGAATAAAAAAATACTTAAGAGAAAGGTATTGCTTACAGTAGACTAGTGCGAAGAAATTGAATACAGTAATCGCAATTCCTGTATTTTAAAAAAATCTCCTGTAAGTGATTATTTAATTAAGGAAAAAGCTCTTCAGTTTTATGAGTTAATAAAACAGTCAGAGCCACCAACTTCCACTTCCCAAGCTAATAAAGCCTACCTGAAAAGAATTTTCAGGTAGCAAAGGTTGACTAACCGGGTTTATAAAAAGAAATGAACTTTATAATATCAAGATTACAGAATAGGCTACAGCAGATAAAGCAGACATAAAAATATTTCCACAGGAGCTAGCGAAAATTATTGAACATTGGAACTATTGTGTCGATCGTCGATCAAGTATTTAACGCTGATGAAACGGGACTGTATGGGAAAAAAATGCCTAACCGTACTTACATCGCAAGGATGAAAAAACTGGAAGTGGAAATAAAGCAAGTAAAGATCGAGTAACAATATTACTTTGTAGCAATGCATAAGGAGATCGGATGTTGTATCCACTCTTAATACATAAATCTCTTAGACCACGTGCTTTAAAAGGCAAATATTTACAATAACTGCCAGTGCATTGGATGGCTAACAAGAAAGCCTGTATGAAGCGTATATGAAGGAAAAATCTCTCGATTTTAAAGTTTTATTAATTATTGTCGATGCAGCAGGTCATCCACACTTAGAACATCTAAACGTTCAAACATTATTTCTTCCGCCCAATACAACAAGCTTTATTCAGGCATTAGATCAAGGCATAATTGCAAGGTTTAAAAAATACTACATAAAGGCAACTTACAAATCCATCGTGAGTAAACTAGAAAATGAGTCCTTAACAGCAAAAGACGTGTGAAAGCAATTTTTCCTATTTTTGATTATTTGATTCATGTTGAATCTGTTTTCGATCAAATAAAACCAAAAACTTTAAATGCCTGTTGGCAAAAGGTTTGGCCACAACCATTCAAACATCGACACATCAGATGAAATAATTAACTGAACACGTGAAATTGGCGAAGATGGTTTTAATGCCTTCAGCTACGATGATATAGATGAATTAGTTATGAATGATGCATTAAGTGACCATGATATAATTGATGAAACTTTAGATCTAACTGTAGATGGGGTCGTAAGTCTAGAAGATAATAATGATGATGAACAAAAACCAACCCTCCTTACTGCCAAATTAATTCGAAAAGTTCTTTAACTTTGCAGTCAATTAGAAAATCATTTTCTTCACACAGAGATCATCACAAAGTTTGGGAAGATTCATCTCCTTTACCGTAAATATCTATGGTAGAGACGTTTCTTCTGACGATGAAGACGATTTTGAGTCAGTTCGCAAACGGTGCCAACAAAATTAATTAAGTTTTAAATACAAGCTTTTTTTAAGCTTTTATATGTATTTCTTTTAGATATTCGAAGTAATTTGCAGCCTATTTCGTTTAATTTATGCAAATGTTTTTGTTTTTGTCTTAATTTTATGTAATTTTAGGAGACTACGAAACGTATCTATACTTTTTTAAGGCAAATAATGTCTTTTTTATGTGATTTCTTTATATGCGCTTCTGTGTGGAACCTATCCACCGCATAAAACGAGACTTTACTGCATGTTGAAGTTGACAAATTTATAGATATTTTTGAAAAAAGAAGTATAATTTTTTAGAAAAAATTTTTAATACATTATTAAAATGGTCATTAAAAGTCAATACATTATCCAACTGAAAACCAAGATTCTTAGTTGTAATGATTTACATTTTATCTTTATCAATTTGAAGATATCATTATTTGAGTATTTATATTTAGTTGTTATTATCACAGCATTCGTCTTTAAAATATATAACTTCAGTTTGCTAATCTTTAAATATTTATTAACAGACATTACATTATGTAATGCAGAAGGTTAAATCAAAACATGCAAGTAGGGTGCCATCGGCATACAAATTAAAGAAATCACATTTAACAAACAAGTTTATTTCGTTTACATACAATATGTACAAAAAAAGTCCTAAGATACTTCCTTGAGGTACCCCAATATTAACACTAATTTCAGAAGAAGTAATATTAACCATTAATTCTCACTTGCTGCTTTTTATCTAATAAGTAATCTTTAAACCATTCAAGAACATTTCCTCCAACACCACAGCCTTCTAATTTAATCAGAAGTATATTACGATCAACAGTTTCAAAAGATCTTTTTAAATCAAGGAATACCACTACATAATTATCATTCTCCAATTCAGACCAGAAGTTACAAAGTGAAAGTTGCAGTGCAGTCTTTATTGCAAAATTTATAATCTAAAAATGTTTAAAAATAATAATTGCATTTATATAAAATTATTTTAAAACAAAAAGTGTCATAAAAAATTAAAGAGAAGATTCAATATTGTTATTAATTGACATTAGGGCGTTTTAAATTTTGACATTCGCTTCAAATCGAATCTTCTATTGACATATATTCTTTTAATTTTTTTACTTCTCATTAAATGTCTGCATTTTGTTAGTTATTTTTCATGCAGTTTTTAATTTGCATAAAAAAGCAAGGACCAAGAAATTATATCTAGATCACATCAAAGAACACTTGCCAAACATAAGCGTCATTCGTATAGAGACGGCGGAAATGGAATAAAAATAATTCTGGAAATGGGCTGTAGAGCCAGAAGAACTGAAGACATCTAAAGCAATTTCTATTATGAGAAGAGTTCGTCAACGTATATGCGAAAAAGATTTTTGGAGAAGTTCTAGAAAACATAACAGAAGGTATAATTGCGAATGTATAATTGCCAACGGACAGTCATTAGCAGAAACAAACTAACAGCTTTATATAAGAGCTTAACTGACAGGAGAAGTGGAGAAACCGAAAACAGAGTACAATCGTACAAATATTTGTACTTTTGGGTGTGAGTATAGACTCAAAGAATGTCAAACGCAGAAGCTACTAGAAGAATAGGAAATGATGCTGAAATAATATTGACTATCAAAAGAAGAAAACTTGAACACGGGCAATACGGAATTTCGGGCACTCTAACCTAACCAAATATATTTTCCTCAAGGCACCGCGTCACAGTGTTGCCGTATGTATTTTAGTAAAATATGTATATGAATGTTACAAATATAAAGTTACTTTTACGAAATAATAATTTTGTGTTATGAGAAGCTACAAGTTTTAAATAAGTATAAAACAAATATTTTCTGTTACTTTAAATGCAGTTAAATATTGTAAATTGGCACTTTCCAAATCTTATCTATTAGGACCCTATTATTAGGTGTTAGTTAGGTAAAATCTATGAATTTTTATATAGCTTCAATGCATTTCTATTATATGCGGTAATTTAATTAGTACTATTAATTTTTATATCATTTTAATCAATTTTATTGTATATGCATTTAATTATTATCTTTAATTTAATTAAAATCTACGATTTTTTTTATATAATTTCAATGCATTTTTATAATACTATGTTAGAGTCTGAAAAAACTGGAGACTTGTCAAGTCTGACACCATTTAAGCATATGTTAAATGTGACGAGATGGCAATGATACTCATAATTGCAAGACAAAATTCGAGGAAAGCGAAATGTGGGAAGACGAAGAATATCCTGGCTTAAGAACTTAAGGGAATGGTTTGAATTCAGTAGTGCAGAACTTTTTAGAGCGGAAGTCAATAGAGTCCGCATAGCCATGATGATTTCCAACATTCGTCAGAAGCTGGAACTTAAAGAAGAAGAAGTATTAACTAGATATATTATGAACCATGAAAAATCTTTTTATGGTCACAATAATGGAACCATCACAAATTGATAGCCAGGAAGCTGCAATAATATTAAAATCTGAAGTTCAGTATGCTATAAAAACTTAATATATGACAGAGACATTGGGCCAGATAGAGTTCACATCGAGCTGATTAAACTTATAGAATGATAGAAGATTAACTTATAGAAGACAATTTAAGCGCAATAACTATCCTGTTTAACAACATATGCAAATCTGGTAATTACTAATATTGGCAGTAGAAGAGGAAGAAGAAGAAGCCGATAAATAACATGGAAAACAAAATACAATGAAATACAGAAAACTATAATACGTTTTTCATAACACATACTGTGATGCAGAACACAGAGAGATGATGCTACTCTATCCCAATATCAAAAATATCTTTGTATTGAAAATGTGTATTTAAATGTAATCTTCCTCACACAATGCGAACACAGAACAGCTGGATTTTCACATATGAGGCGTATTTGATTTTTAGTTGTATACGTCTGACTCAAACATATATATTTGGTAGTGTTTTGAGATTCTTCTTATGTCGAAGATGTCAGTAAGATATTAGTGATGATTAAAACTTTCGACGGTGGTAAATCAACTAAATCATGAAGAATTAAACTACACATATTATAAGAAAAAAATATATCATCAACATCGTACAAAAAACATAAAAAGTTGTTTTCTCAAAAGTGCAAAGAGAAG